CACTATAATTCATATGAATGTGTCGAATAATGTGTTAAAAATAATTTTCTAACTGTCATATTGTATTGAATATGTAATATAAGGTATATATAAATTACAGAAAATGATTGAAATGATTGAAAACACTTTTCTTTCTTTCTTGTTCTTTTCCTATCATTTAAATAATATCTCTCGCAAAACATAGATTCTAAACATCTTATTGGTTCCGCTATATTTTGTCAAAGCCAATAGAAAGTTTGACAACATGGGCCAGACTTACTATAGGGACTCTAGTCAGAATAATTTCGTTTCCCCTAGAAAAGACAATAGAAATTTAGGAAATAACTGAATGTTTCCGATCGGAATTGATTCCGAAAAGTTCCATAATACGTGCCCTGAACGTAATGCGAACTAAGCTTGTACTGAGATGCGTTCAACAAGGCACTCAATTATTTTCTGCTATAATTTAGGTTTTATATGAATTTTTGTTTTTGATTAAAGCAGAGAATTTACATATATAACTTAAAATCTTCGCCTTATTAAATGATTCATCGTGCCTATTTCTAAAAGAAAATAATATAATTGAAGATTGGCAAATAAATATAAATAAAATTACATAAAATAAATAAATAAAAAATATAAATAAAATAAATATTTACTGCTAAATTCTCTGCTTTAATCAAGAACAAAAATTTACAAGACTCTATTAACCAATCAATTTCATGCGAAACTAATAAAATTTATATGAAAATGTTCGACCGATGAACTAGGGTTTAATAACCCAGAGTCGATTAATCCATATTCAATTGAATACACTAGTTATCGTTGCGCCATATAATGGACTTTCTATAATAAACTATTAGTCATAAGTCGTAAGCAAATTGACCAATCACAATTGATTACTTTTTCAAAATAATCGACTGTGGTTGGTCAATTTGCTTGCGGTTTATGATTAATGGCTTATTGCAGAAGGCTAATAATATATAGTGGAAAAGCTGCGCAACGATACACCGTACTGACATTGTCGTTAGGAAGTTACAGAGGCCGTGTTCCATTTTTACTGCCATTACTGAAAATCTACAGTTTTCGTCACGTATATAGATTTTCAGTACTGGCAGTAAAAATGGAACACGGCCAGAATAGTGCTGTCGTATTAAAAGACGAAAAAGAAGGAGAAGAGGAACGCGCATTTTTCGTGACTGTTGGTTAATGGAAAAAACGAGAAAGTTTTCGAAGCAGAAGTGACATTTTGACGTTACGTATGCTTCAGTGAAGAGAGTCGTTCGCTATGTGTAACGTGCGACTAGCAGGTATTAGTTACTTATATTAATTTTATGCATTAACCGGTGGTAATTATTTAGAACAACTATCCTCACCTCTGATTTTCATGAAAATAGGTTCATTCGACGCGTTTTGGCATAAAAGAATCTGAAAAAAATATCGCTCTGCCTCGCGAAGCGAGATATTTAGCGTTAAAGTTAGTCACATCCGAGGTTAAGGAATCTGTCATCTGAACGTGATGCGAACTAGCCTTGTACTGAAATACGTTCAACAACGATCAATTATTTTCTGCTATAATTTAGGTTTTATATGAATTTTTCATTAATCGAATCTCGTTGATTAACTCAAGTCTAGTCGAATATACTAAATGTAACAATAACGACACTTTCGTTGGAAGTTATAGGATCTGTTTTCTATTGCTGAACCAGTGTACACTTTCGGAACTTAAAAAAAGAGTTATACAGATAAAGCTGATGAAAAAAAGATGAAAGAGAACTAGTGCAGCCAGTTTAGTAATAGAAAATAGGCTCACCCGGGAAAAAAAGTTTATATATGAATTTTATCCATATATGGTTATATATGATCATATATAATTATATATGTCGACATTGAAAAGAATACTACTGTGAAGATACAATTGAAGTAAATGCTTATGTTTATGGTAGCCCATGATGTCGACGTTTAATCGAATCAAATTATATTTTCCTTTTTTCATTTGACAATTTTCGTTTTATATATGAACATATATAATTAGATATGACCATATATAAGGTCACATATATGGACAAAATTCATATATAATCATATATAATCACATATATATTTATATATAATTATATATAATCTTTTTTTTCCCGGGCATAGAATCGCAGCACAGAGACAAGATTCCATTGATCAATAATACGGAAACGAGTGAAATTAGTCGAAAATGTTTAGGAACTATCGATCTTATCGATCTATCGTATGTGATTGAATATTTAGGTGGCTAGATGTCGCCTGATGCGGTCTGAATGCACGCATCGTTAATAGTTATCATATTCAATCGACGGTCGGCGGTTTTTGGCGCGTTCACAGCGATACAAGTGTATTGTGTACATATATCGTTGTATTTGCGCGCGTTCACAATATCTGAATTCAATATCGAGATCGTCGCGTCGCTCTTTTGACCTCGAGGGAGTAGCCGTCAAGGTTGGCGTCAACCTCTAAATCTGCGATCGTCTCAAAAGGGTTTAGTGACGTCAGTAAAGTTAGACCACTGAAATATATTATGGACCTTCTACAATAAGCTATTAATCATAAGCCGTAAGCAAATTGACCAATCACAATCGACTATTTTCAAAAATAATTGACTGTGGTTGGTGAACTTGTCTACGACTTATGACTGATTAATAGAGTGGCATTGGGGTATACGACGTGAAGTGGCCTAGAACTATATATTGAGAAAGAGAAAGAAAGAGAGATAAAAAGAGAGAAAGAGACTTATGACTAATAGCTTATTGTAGAAGGCCCTTTATATATTAACTGGAACATACACTGCTATACGGAATAAGAGAAAAAAAAGAGAAAGAAATCTCCTTATTCTTGTCTAGATCATAGTGTGGTGGAGAAGATGAGGTAAGTAAGATCAACAAAGAGTAAACAAAGAGTAGACAAAGACAGAGTGATCGAGACATTAGGTATGCTCCCCTCCCCCTCCCTTATAGAAATATCATACTAAGAATCATTGATAATTACTTATTTTCAGTATTAAAAATACTGGATAATAAGTAATTATCAATGATTCTTAGTATGATATTTCTATAAGGGTTCTCATTCCTTGCAGGCAAACCTAGCACTCGTTTCAGTTTGCATATAGATCTGTTCTTTGTAGGTGAACTAGTTCACACTTTCGGAACTTGAAAAGAAACAGATATATAGTTGCGACTTGATGTAAAAAAGAAAAAGATAACTAGTGCAAACTGTACTATAATCAGTTCAGCTACAAAGAACGGGTCATAACCTTATAGAAATATCATACTAAGAATCATTGATAATTACTTATTTTCAGTATTAAAAATACTGGAGTAATTATCAATGATTCTTAGTATGATATTTCTATAAGGATATACTTCAGTGGATTTTAGACGTCTTACTCCTTGTCCACAACCTTGCTTTAATCCTTAAACCGTAATAAATTGACCAACCACAGTCGATTATTTTAAAAATAATGAACTGTGGTTGGTCAATTTCTTACGGCTTAAGAATTAAAGTAAGGTTGTGGACAAGGGATTACATTCTTATTCGGTGGCTAGATGTCGCCTGTTGCACTCCGTACGAATTGAAAGTCTGTTCTTTTCAGCTGCACTGTTGAACTGGTGCAATAAGTTAGAGTGAGAAAAGATATACTTGTCTCATTTTAACTTATTGCACCAGTTTAGCAGTGTAGTTGAAAAGAACAAACCACGTGAGTCGGGCGTATCGCCAGTAGCCGCCACATTCAATCGACGGGCGATAGTTTTTGGCGCGTTCGTGGCGATGCAAATTTATCGTACATACGTCGTTATGATCGCGCGCGTTCACGACATTCGAATTCAAGATCATCGCATCGCCCTTCGGACAAAGATGATCGTCACGTCGCTCTTTTGACGTCGGGGAAATAGCTGTAAAGATTGGTATCAATTTCAGAATCTGCAAGCATCTCGAAAAGGGTTACGAAAGATACGTCAATGAAGTTAGATTCCTTGCATTCTTGTTTGCGAGATAGCAATGATAAATAGATAGCAATGATTCTCGTTGGCATCGCGTTCATTAACACTCGTTTCTTCAGATTCTATCTAGGCGAGCAACAGTGTCAATGTCAATGCCACGATGAAGTGTCTGGAGCAGCAGTGAGATGCGAAATCGAGAAGTCTTAACGAAGAATGGAAGACACCGGCCAACGGCACACATCGTGTGTTTCCAAGTATGTCAAATCATTTATTATGTAATTGTTTACTTGTTTTACCGGACATTTGACGAACTTATCGAGAATATTCAGGAGATACCCGAATCGAAATTCAGGCATTCATAGTTCGTTGTTATTTGACAAATAGTTTTAGCATAATGAACCTCTGATTATCTATTAATCTTTACCTGTACTTATTTCATGCAACAAGGAATATTGACTATCCAAATAATATAATCTCATCCTTAGTATAATTTTCTTGTATTAAGCATATTTGTGCACTCAACAGGATTCTTCTAAAACCAAAAGGAAAATATTTTAAGCGCAATATTGTTAAAATTTGAAGAATCTTGTCTCTTAGTTATAGTACAAATCTTGCTCGCGTCTTTCATATCATGAGTAATAATATACTGAAAAAAATTAATTAAATTTCAAAAAACGTTTGTTTGGGTAATACTGTGAAGATATTTGTTTAAATTAAGTAATTATTTTCTAAAATTATATAAAGTTTTAATTATAAATTTGTTTCTTTAATTTTAGAAAATGATTACTTAATTTAAACAAATATCTTCACAGTACTATCCAAACAAACGTTTTTGGAAATTTAGCAAATTTTTTCTCAGTGTAGAGCATTTTATTTCAAATAAACATATTCGTCTTGATTTAAAATGGAACAAGTTAAAATAAAATATCTGACAGATCTCCGATTAGTAATTAGTAATTTATACAAGAAGAATATTCTATTGGTAAAAGTTTTGCTTAGAATATGGGATTATAGGAAATAGCACCTTGCAAATACAATTCTTTTTTCCTTTGAAAAAGGGAAAGGGTGTTAAAATAAAATATTTCCCTTCTGCTTTTAGAAAAATCCTCTAAGAGAAGGATATGATTATATTTTTTGAGTGATCTAAGCAGTGAATAACAGTTCATGATAAATTTGTGATTAATTGACTGTAGTCATTCAAGAGTAATCCAGGCCATAGAATATAAAAAATGAAGATGAAAATTTGATATATAATTTGAAAAGTACGGATAACATTGAGGGTTCTTCGCAATCGTTCAAGAAGCCAAGTATGACAAATTGTCTTCTCTTTAAGGGCACTTATTGACAAGCATAAAATAGATAAAAAGACGCAACCAGTAAACAATAGTGCAACTAGTAGAAAATAGAAACTGTTTTTTTAATTAACTTTAGACGTCTATAAAATTTGATCTTGCTTTGTTTTGTGTACAGAAGTGTAAGGATTTAGTCATTGATAACAAATATTCAAAAATCATAATTTTGTGGATTGGATATCTTGCATAACTGTGTTTGCCAATTATGTTTTTAATCAAACTCGGTCGAGCCTTACATCTCGCGCGATCGCCAAACGTGCTGCGCTTTACGAATAAGATAAACGAAATGATGAAGCGCGAATAAACAAAATAGAATACACTCGTTCGACTGTGCCGAATAACAATGGGGATAATAGGGATCAAATTAAAGCGCATACGTTGCCTTTTGTCGAATAAGAATTACAGAGAACAGGTGGGTGCAAAAACAAAGTTTCATCGCAAGGCAGTGCGATGTAACCGCGACGAATCTCGATTCGGCGAAAATAGATTCGCGTTATTGGGACCGGGTTTAATCGCGCGAAGTTGCGCGGCAACGACGATCGCAAACGATCTCACGCGATCCGAGACAAAGGGGCGATTCGCGCGGTCCAATTCTGCGCCGTCGATCGGACAATGCGAATATCGGATTAGTTTCGGGCGTGTGGCGCGTTCGCCGCGCGAGTTACATTATGGAGAGGAACACGTTCGCTCAACTCACCTATGATACAAATCGGTTTCCGTATGAATCGCAGCCGTCCGCAGCAACCCATGTACTTCGATCTGCAGCCTGCGCTCCATAGTCGGACCATATACTCGACTCCGAAGAACACCACGAGACATATTTCCTGGATAATAACATGTTACGCACGGTTAAGCTTCTCAAAAGAGTGGCCTGGCGAGTCTATAGCGATAATTATTCAGACACGAAGCATTCAGAAATTTATTAGAAAGATTAACAAATGACTGGCGAACACTGCGGCGTCGCATATCCTTTGTACTTAAACAATACAGATGACAGAGACAGAATTTCTGTCGGAACCATTTGCGAAATTTAGCAAGAAAGTCTCTCTGTTTCTCTGCGGCACTTGTCCAGAGATTAAAGCCAGTCACACTTATAAAAGCGACTGTCGCAGACAAAAAAGACTGGCGACGAGGGACAAACGAATGTGTAATCCTCGCATCTCCATCTAAATTTACCAGCGTATCTATTATTAGAATGTCGTCGCTGTAAATTCTGCATATCACGCACAGAAAATTACGTAATGCATTCAAATAAATGTTTCGAGTATTTCATAAGTTTGTATATCCGCAAATCTATTACGTAAGCTCACAATAAGCATCAAATTTGTTCAGAATACGTTCTGACTCCTAGTAGACTCAATCGAGAATATTAAATTAAAACAAAAGTTCTTCTGCTGAGTACATTATAAGGAGCTTTTCTAAAATTTGGCGCGAGTATATTTTAAAATTACCATCAAGAAAATATTCCTTGTTGAAGACAATTATTTGTGAACTGAGTAATCATTGTTTTTTTTTTAACAGTACAATAATATTTTTCTCGCAGTAGAATGATATTTCTCTATGTGTGCACCGACAATTTTCTACAAGATACAGAAAACGGCAAATTTCAACTGTGACGGAATTCTACGTGAACCAGCAAAACATTTTGCTGAATGTTTGCGATGGGCGATCTTGAAAGACAGCGAGCCGAGATGACAATCGAAGAAGTGTATTTGATCGTCGGTTTGGTGGTTTCGTATTGGTATATCATCAGCTGATCGTGAAGCTCAAACGAATACGCAACGGTCCGCACGTGGATAGAGGGAGACGGCTGTTGTATCGATTGTAACGGCGCCGTTGTATCAACGGGACGTCCTAGAAAAACGAGGACGTCGACGTTGAAACTACAACGAGGCGGGATCCTTGAGAGAGAACCGGCTTACTATACTTTTATAGCCCAAGACGTCAACGAGCGCGCTTTATGCGCGCTTACCTTCTTCGCGTTCGCGCGGAGGAAAAATACATCGCGGAGGCATCGCGAGGGATCCGTAAGCTTTTATAACGCGTCGAGTACTGATTCACAACTCGTCTATTTTTCCACCGACGACGGCCAAGCGGTGCGACTTTACGTCACACGAAGTTTCACGTCAAAAGTTGATGCTTTTCTCTGCTCATTTTAATAAGACAAGAGAGAGAGAGAGAGAGAGAGAGAGAGAGAGAGAGAGAGATGAAGAAGAAAAAAAAATGATTTTATTTGCGCAGATCCCTCGCAGAAGAAGAGAAACGCGGAAACTTCTGGAAATTGTTGCAAAGTCCATACTCAGACGGACTGATAAGAACGATTTTCGATGCATTAATTGAACGAAGTTTACCCAAGCTCCTTTGCGGAATATTGTGAGGGCCTAATGTCGCAGTGTGAGACATAGTACTTTTGCACGTCGCCAATCGTTCACTGGCTACTCACCATCCAAAACAGGGTTTCGTTTGCGAAGTTACTGTATTGGTCTATCGTTGACAAAACGCTAAATATGAGGCACACCAATACCACCATGAACCTGAAAAGGAAACATTTTACAATGTATGCATGAAAAATTGATCAGAGCTTTGTTCTATTCTAAACTACTTCTATTTTATTCTATACGGGCGGAATTTTATAGTAAAAATTACTATAGAATTTTGCATTTGGGAAATAGGTCGACTTTTTGCAGTAATTGACTATCCTTTTATTTCATATGTGTTGTTTTCCGAGAAAAAAAAGTTCAGATAAAAGCCAGATATGGATTTTGTCAAGATCTGATCAGATATAATCACATATAATTCAGATATGATTCAGATCTGTCCATATATAATCATATATATAATTATATATGATTATATATGGACAGATCTGAATCATATCTGAATTATATCTGATTATATCTGATCAGATCTTGACAAATCCATATCTGGCTTTTAGCTGAACTTTTTTTCCCGGATTATTTATTTCAGGAACTGAAATATGCTATTAAAAGATTTGCGCTAATTTGTACTAATAACATATTTACTTAAATCGAAATTTTTATATTTAAGTAAAATTAAAAAATTGCTTTCATAAGGAATTATTATAAAAAAAAGAATATTTTCTTATTTAAAAGATATTTTTTCTCAGTATAAAAATATACATATCAATATAAATAAATATGTTATTAGCATCCAAAGAATGATTTTTATTTCTTAGATACTTTTTTCTCGGTAGTAAAATTGAAAAGAATTTATAAGGAAAAAAAGACTACAATATTTTCTTCGTGTACTGACCGGTCGATTAGTTTAAACGTTACGCGTTAAAAAGACAGACGTTTTACATTAAAGATATTTAGTTAGTAACTAGAGATAAACAACTCTAGATTCTTCGTCGAATTTGCGATACTTTCTCTCTGAAACTTTAAACGTGAGCTTCCTCGCGCGCAATCTGTCGCACAGGTACCGAACTTTCAGACGTTGCGCTTATAGAAAAGCCAAGTTGTATAAAACGAGCTTTCCAGAACTGTCACACTTCACCTCGGCTACGAATTCCCCGTGAACGTGGAATCGTTTTTACCGCGAATATACAGAAAAGAAGGACGTACTTGTTTTGACATATTAATCTTCAAATGAGATTATATAACATTAAACGAGAGTAAGTTACCTGCAAAAATATATTTTATATGATTTTTTCCACGAAGGAAAATCTATATTCTTGTTATTAAAAAATAATTTTCACTAATGAAAATATTGGATTGGATTGAGAATATGACGTTTTTAAATGTCGGGAGAAGATATCGTTATCATCAAAATAATCATATTGTACTTTTTTTTATGAAACTATTATAATATATTTAAAAATATATGTTATAAAATTGTAACATTTATTGAAATTCTGGACTTTATAATTGTTCTAACAAAATTATATACGTCGCTTATGCAAAACAATAATTGTGAACTTGAGCGGATAGAGGAGAACACATTTATATGTATAAAATGGCACATATTTATATGTATAAAAACAATCTGCATTTAATTTTATATTTTCCATTAGTGGAAAACATATATAACTATTATAATATATTCAAAAATATATGTTATAAAATTGTAACAGTTATTGAAATTCTGGACTTTATAATTGTTCTAACAAAATTATATACGTTGCTTATGTATAAAACAATGATTGTGAACTTGAGCGGATAAAGGAGAACACATTTATATGTATAAAAACATCTGCGTTTTATGTTTTTCTGTATTTTATGTTTTCCATTAGTGGAAATTATTCTTGAACAGAAAGAGCACAGGTTTTTCATTGAATTGCATTCTAAAGCATATTTTTGCAAGTAGCTTATCTCCGTTTAATGCCATATGATCTCATTTGAAGATTAACACGTCTGAAATAAAGATATCTTTCAAACAGGAGTGTCCTCCTTTTCTGTGCACGTAACGAGGGACACAATGGCCGAACACGTCGGAAGTAATATCAACGAGATAAAATAGAAACGAGAGCTCCCATGTGCATTCCGTAGTGCATCGTGGCGTCGTGTGTCATGTGAAATTCACTCGACATAAAACCGTATCCAATTAATTCACGCTCAAGTTCCCGCTAATTGTAATCTGGATCATATTAACCCCGATAATTATAGCACGGCGAAATGAACATTTACACCAGCAATCTGATATAATCCAAGCGTTACGCGCATCAAACGCTCCGATGAATGAAACGCGATATAAATTGCGCTCTTGGCGGTCGTGCGTTACGTGACGCTTTACAGCTCCTGCATAATTGATCTACGTGCGTTCGCTCGTGCCTGAAAGTTCGTCACAATTCTGACGCTTGGAATAATAAAATAAAGCAAGAAGAAGACAACGCGCGTGGCTACAGTCGCGAAAGGACTGTACGGTTGGACACCGATCGAGTCTGGCAAATTACGACAAACTACGAACGCGACACATCAGACGTCTACGTTACTAATCGCCGGGGTGTTGCAGAGTGTAACTTTGCGCTTAAACTTGTAAGAACATTACCGGGACGTATATATAGTCGCTCGCGGCACCTATCGATCAAGGTCGCGTATGTTCCATGACGATTGGACGTAAAAATATTCGCGGACGGAATGTGCGCGTAACACACCGCGATAACTGCGCCGGCGTGTCTTCGCCGTATACTTTTCGTGCCTTTCAATTTTGCGGCAGAACTCCCACGCACAAGTAAGATGTAAACTCAAGCTGAAGAACTAATCAGGATATTGCTTTATCTTTGTGTACTCTAGAAGAAAATAGAACTGACTGTAAAACTGACTGTTATACACAAATAACTAACCGGTTGAAATTCCAGTTATTCGGTGTAAGTTTGAGTTATTTCTATTTTCTTCTAGAGTAGGCAAAGATAAAGCAATATCCTGATTGGTTCTTCAGCTTAAGTTTACGTCTTACAGGTACGGAAATTTGTGTGCGGAAGCTCTTATGCTTGTTCTGTCGACGGTTCTCTTCGCTACGCCAAGATCTTCTACGCATTCTGGCACAAGATCTTACGAATGAATTAGAATGCGTTCATATCTCGAACTCCTGCTGATATTTATCTGCAGCACCGTGGACGCAGTCCGTTGAAACGGCGCGCTAACACGGAGTACAAACTTTCCACAGTGTAAGAAAATTAAATAACTGCCTCTCACGACATTCCGGATTACCCGCATCAAAAGAGCTATTATTAAATTAAAAAAGTAAAAAAAAGTAGACTTTATGAAAAAATACTCTGCATTCGTTTAGCGCACCGGCCGGGTTAATAGAAGCAATTGAGCGTTAAAAAACCAAATCATCTCGATGAACGGCTCTCGCGGGCAACTATTCGATCCTATGTATCTTACGTACATTTCTTGTGAATATTACGTATATTCAGAATAGAAAGAAAGAGAAAAAAACATTTATTTTAGTTCTAGGATGTATCTTCTAAGAACTGTTGTATATAAAATTATATAAAGCACACGATTAATGTGAAAGAGTTACAGGAAATAATATTTGGTATAATATTGACGATGGTTTTACAAATTCGAATTGATTTAACGTACTTTGAGAAAATTTATCAGTACAGATATTTATTGACGGACTGAAATATTTTTATTATGCGTATGTAACGCATAAAATTATACATTATTAAATTAAGGAGACGTATAAACAAAAGAGTGGAGAAAAAGAAGAAAAAAAAAGAGAGAGTGAGAGAAAGAGAGAGTAATTTTAAGAAAGGCGCCAACGTCGTGGACTCAGTAACGAGCCTTTTGGCGCCGCATATGCACCGTAAACGTTACATAATCTTCCGCGCGCGTTAAAAATAAAAGACGCTCAATTCTGCCGCGAATGGCGAGTATTGTTCGGGAATGCACCTGCTCGTGCGTCGAGATCCGCGGAAATTCCTTCGCGTCCCTTCGTCCCCGCGCCGAATGAATCGAGCGATCTCCAAGGCGCGCCTCGCCTCGCTGTCGACCCCTAATCGCCACCCTGACGCATCACGGCGTCGAGGCGCGAATCGACGACGTCGGCGGAAAAGCGGAGACAGCGCGGGACAGCGCGGCGAAGCTCGCATAATCGGGATAACGGCTAACGGGACCGGTAATTGGTACGACGGATCGATCTAGCGGCGCTTTCGTTGCTTGTACAAGTAATTTATTATCGAGCGTCGCCTCGTTAAGCAACGGGACGCGACGTTAACGAAGGCTAAGGCCCGGCCAGGCCAGGCAGGTTGCCGCCGCGTAGTACTCTTTAAGATAGCGTGTCGAGGGCCTATAATTCCGACGTATGTACAGTGCTCCGTAGCTGCACGGGTCACCTTCATCGACCTACTATGATAATTGTCCAACATATTCTTCCTTTTTTCCTCGAGCATCGCTCGGAACTCATCCATCTCCCGCCGGGCGTCGGATAGACGTGTCTCTCTCTCTCTCTTTCTCTCTCTCTCTCTCGCGACTCGCGTGCTCCGTATGTCACTTTACGCGAAAACACTAAAGTTTCGGGAGAGGCAAGTTAGACGCCACGTAACATTGTGTCACAACATATCTCTGATCAAGAACTAGTTCATATAGACCGATTATTCCTCTCTCACATCTTTCCCTCTTTTTTTCCTCTACTTCTTCCTTGTATTCCTTGTACGATTTCAGTATCACGTTATTTTCTTTTGTGCCTTTTCCCTCGAATTTATCCCCCCACCCCCCCTATCTTACGTTACCCTACATTATCTTTTGATTTGTTAGAAAGGCAGCAACTCCGCAACTTTGTTCGCTGAGATAGCCCGTCGAAAGCTCTTCATTGTCGACAGTTAATTATTCGAGGGCCATAAGTGCTCGGACGGGCCGTTATCGAGAAATCGATTGCAGTCAATCGTTAAATATCAATCACATTTTAGCAAGAGGATTTTAATAAAATTGTAAAAAAAAAGAGAAAAAGAAAAAAAGACGGCTTCAGCACTGTTTATGTAACGATAAGCTGAAACGACGAGGTCTAATCTCGATATTAATATTCGTGCATCGGACGGCGCAAAACGTTGCTCGCGGCTAAAGATACA